TAGAATCGTGTTCTCTCTCGGATACTTTTCTCTTTATGCCGCCTCACTTTCTTTGCAAGCTTCGCACTCCAACGGGGAGGAAAATTTTCTAAGTTTTTGCTGACGCACGTAAGCGAAGTACGAAGGGAGCAACCCGTAGGGTGACAAACACGAAGTAAACTGAATGTGTAAGGATATGCTATAACAATAAAATGAAAATACCGGTAGAAATGAAAAAGTAAGAAATGTCAAAAATGTTATACTCATTGTACGCGAGCTCAGTGTTGACATTTTCTTTCAGTTTTTACATCTTCTTACATTTATTAGACTAAATAGATTTCTAAGATCGATTTTGTTTCTGATCATACAAGATTTATAGATATCATATAATTATGTGGTTAGGCAAACTGACTAATAATTACTTTTTATCAACACCTTTTATATACTCAAAGGATCGTAATGTATCCAGTAGACATTGTCTATTGATAAAATAAGCAATAACAATTAATTCGAAATTTTTTGCTCGACAATGGTCACACGATATCTTACAATTGTCAATTTACTTTTATACGTCATAGAACGGAAAATTTGCTCAATTCAATATCAATGCATATATAATGGACGTTAAAATTTACAGTTTATAAGTATTTAAAATTCATTCTTTATTTATCCATACGTTTAATAAAGAATTTAATCTTATATATGGAACTATCCTTACAAAAATATATTAAGTTATGTACAGAAACAGATTATGAAAAATATTGTTTAAAAATTTTTTAAATCCAGACTAATGGCATACGATGGCAATAATTATTATCTGTAGTTTAGGACCATAAAGATTTATCTATTTTACTGAAAATAAAAATAAATGCACAATTTATTAATGCATATATATTGTTCAATATATACTTTTACTATAAAACAAAAACATAATGTGTTCTTAGTCTATTTCAAATATAATTTTAAATATCAAATGCATTTAAATACAAAATACTATAAATATATTTAATAAACTAGTTTTTAAATAAAAAATCATTATCTTTTTAATAAAACTATGGGCAAAATTACCTGACATTTTACGTTAGAAAGCTTGATTTTATATTCTATTTTATCAAATGTAGTTCAAACTTTCTTTCTAAACCATTTGTCGTTCATGAAAGTTTTGTATGTAAAGGTATTATATTGTTATTTGATGAAATATATTTTTTTGTATTTAAAAAAACTTAAATTGGCAATAATTCCTACAGTAAAATATGGAAATTGGCAAAAAAAGAGAAAATTAAGAAAACATGGTTCGTATATAAAAATATGAAATATACTATACCAACTACTAAATATCTATCAATTATTTACATAAATGTAAAGTCCAAAAAAATTTAAATAAAAGATAAAGTACTGTATTTGTATTTAAATGCCATGAACATCATATTATTGAATTCACACGCAAGAATACGCCAATCGACTCACACATCAGAACATATGTATATGTTTATATTTATAGTTTAAGTATACAAGTCCGTGTGCAGTCATGCGTATAAATATATATATATATATATATATATATATATGATATAACTTAGAAATTGCATCAATTGTAATATAAAAATCATTCTTTATTTCCTTTATAAATTACATTTGTATATCAGAAAATTTTTTTTTATAAAGTATACACACTACATACACATACATATATATATATATATAGATAATTTATATTCAACAATAATTACTTTTTATTTTTGTTGATTGGACAAACATTTATGATTATTTTATATTTTACATTAATACAAATATAATATATATTTTTAATCTCAGAATGAAATTAATAGCATTTTTGAAATTAACACAACTACCTGTGTATCATAAATACTGCACAAGTTTATTGAAAATAACAAATATTTGTATGATCGTTTGACTGTAATAGAAAAATACCTAGACTGTTCTTAACAATGATATTTTAAAAAATTATTTAATTAGAGTCTTATTTTAGATAAATGTATATATAACTCACTAAAGCGATAAGTTATGCTTTACATATACTATATTAATCTATAAATATTAGTTATTGTCATATGTGTGCACATTAATCATAAATACTAAACTAATACCTTATATATACGTTGAATACGCTGTAATATTTTTAAACATATGATTCGATTACTTAAAATAGGAACAGTAAATTCATGAATTATTTATTACTTTCTATTGTTGTAAAATGAAAAATGTTGATTTTAGGAATACTTTTTGTAATATTATCAATATATTGTTTAAATTAACCATTCAATTACATTTGATT